CATCCATCCATCCATCCATCCATCCATCCAGATATAGGGATCTATGGGGCACCAGCCCCAGAATTTCAGAACTCTTCCAGCACCAGGAAGCATGATGGCGCTCCAATGTTTGTTGTTTCTGCACGTCTTGGAATCTTTGGCCAAGACCAATCCACCCAATCATGTGGCAGTTGAAGGTAAATCAACAACTCATCCTCCCTTTGCCTAATATTGTCTAGTACTTGAATTAGAATGAGTAGATGATCCAAGAGTTCATCCTGAAGTCTTGGTTCTTCAGACTTCAACCTGTCCTGATCCAATTTCTACCACTTATATACCTTTCTGGTACCTGGACCGGCCTTCACTTGGCCACCCAAAAGTCACGCAATGTAAATCCCTGGGGCTCCAGTCGCACCTTCGTTTCGGTTCGGTGGGACTGGGGAGGGTGCAGTCATACCAGCGAGGAGGCCGCTCACCTGGAACCCCAAAAACGTGTATAAGCAATCAATGTAGACTCTTGATTCTATTTCACCCCCCCCATATGAAATAGCATGTCCAATTCAAATGGGAGGCTTGATGGTCCTCAAGAGCCAGTCTACCCATCTGGGAGGGCCTTGTAGGCCCTTTGTCTGAAAGCCTCCGCCAGAACCGAGGCCGGGCTCAGCAGCTTGAGTGACCTGCATTGGTCGAAAGGATCGATCCACTTGATCGAGACCTGTGCTGGCCTTTGGGTGGAGGAGGCCCACCGGACGGTGAGCGCGACAGCGTCTGTCGAGTCGGTGAGCGCTGTCGTCTGTCGAGTCTGTCTACTGTGGATTGAGACGGTTGAGACAGTGAGACATGGCTCAACTATGGACCCCAAGTTAGGTGGTTGAACTATGATACCCCCATCTGAAATACATCTTGAGGTGCCAGTGCAATTGAACCTCTGAAACCACTGTATGTGTGGCGGTGGGTGGCTGTGTGGTTCAGCCGCGGTTCGCACGCTTGGCGAGTTTGCGCAAAACCCGTCTCATCTGTCAGGAACGGACCTGTCAAACTGATAGCGTGAAAAGCTTGAACCGACAAGCTGAACAGAAAGCTGAACCGAAAGAAGGGGAGATGTTCCGAATGCAATAGCTGCAGAGATTAATTTGCAGAGTTAGCTGCAGATATGTGTGCACTTCATCTAGTACTTCAGGCGTTTTCCGGTTCCAATGAGAGATGTCCAGACCGCCAAGACCCGGAGCTCAGGAGCTCCATCTGGATGGAGGCCGCGGAGAAACTTGCGCAACGGTCGCCCCGCGCGGTTTGAATTCAAGATGAGGAAAGACTTGTTTGGGCTCCAGTCGTACCTTCTGAGAAGGTGGGACTGGGGTGGCTTTCATTTGGAGGGTCCAGTCATACCTTCTGAGGAGGCACGACTGGAGCCCTAGGGTTGGTCCATCTTGGTCCTTCTTTATGTTTTTCTTGGCTTCTGAATCCTGCTTCCCTATATCTATATATCTATCTCTGGGAATTTACAGAACTATATTGACGCTCCTTGTGCGGCAGCTACCCTGTGCGCGCATGGGAGTAGCTGCTCTGTCAAATCATAGCAAGGCCTTTTGTTGTCCGCGCGACCTTACATTCTCTGGAACTAATATGGTTCCGTGGATGGCATGCTTCAAATGGTCCCAAAACTGTTTGACTTCAAGCATGCAAGCATGCTTCGGCTCGAATCCTTCACACGAATCGTGTGGCATGCTTTGATGGCATGGTCCCAAAAGAAAGACCAGGATCAATCCGCTACCAACCATGAAACGTACCCCATCAGTGCCATGAAACCCCATCAGTGCCACAAAACCACGTCGAGAGGACCACCTCCCAACCACCTGTTTTTGGGGATTTTCCTCTGGTGCACCACCTGCACGCACGATCCAGGTGAGGAGTCCAAGCCAGAGACCTCGGCGCTGCGGCTGGCCAGGCCAGACGTGAAATTCACCACCAGCCAGGACCCCCAAGGGGTGGTCAATGGACACCCCGAATCACAGCTAAGGGGCTATACATAGACACCCCGACAGGAGGGTCCTGGAGCGGGTCCCTATAGGATAGGGGGCCGTTCTGGGTGGATAAAATCCACGGTGTCAGTGCTTGGTCTATATTCGTGCGCCAGCCTGCCAACAACCTTATCTTCAGGGATGTCCCTAGGGATGTAAGATGTGAAGGTATAATCGGGGGTCATGTTGACTCATTCGGGCAGCGCCTTCCGTGGATCCTTTGGGCTGTGATGGTGATGCCTTTTTGGACTGGAGGATTCCTAAGACACTGCCCCTCGATGCCCATCGGTGGGAGCTTTTCTATAGTAACGGCTCAGCACACACGAATATTCGATTTTAATGAGTATGCAGTTAGAATACCCTTATTTTTGAGGTCACTGGGTGAAGCCAAAGCAGAGAAGGAGCTTTTCTAGATAGATTTGGATCGTCTCGATTTGAGCACCGACTCACGACTGCTTTGCTGGAGAAGTAGGCTATATAGGGCTTGTCTCAAAATGTGTGTGTCTTCAGGTGTTCATCTCCTTTGCCTATTCCCAGTGCTTCTTTTTGGTTTGGGCGAGGTGAGGTGTCCTTGTTTTGAGACAAGGCCGATTTCCAAGCTGCTCAAATGTTTGCCCACTATTTTCTGGCAACACATGGCTTTGCTGCGTGCAACGAAGCGCCCACATCGATTTCAGAACATCGTCCTTGCTGCACATACACCGACTCTACACGAAGCGCCCACTCGATCCCTTGGGTCTAATTGGATTGTGAGTTTGTCCAGATACGTACCAATGAGGAGGTCATTACGTGACCTGACCTGATTAGACCCGGAACACCTGGGGTACCCGGATAGTCGAACGGGTCAGGTTCTGGTATGCTGGTGAACCCCTGTTGGTTCGAGTCGGATGGCGAACCCTTCGCAGCTGGAGCGCATGAAGAATCCACGAAGAACAGCCAGAAGAGAGGTGACAAGTGGACAAGCTCGACAGTGTTGGGCCGCCAGAGGTGAGTTCTATCACTTCTGTCAGATTGGCTCCGGTCTTCTGCATGCCTCGTTGAGGAGAAGGAGCTCCGGTCTCGTCGCTTCCCTCGCGGAACCGCGCGTCTGTACGTCGCGGAACCGCACTTCGTCGGTCGAGGCGGATCCGCCTCATCAGCCGCCGGGGGCTGTTGGCCGAGGTCCGCGGCGGGGGTCGTTCGGATGGGGGGGGTCGGACCGGAGGCCGGGCCGGGGGGGGGGTGCTTCGAAGTGGGGTCGAAACGCCGGCGGCCTTTAAGATCGACCTCCCCGAAGTCCAGTTCGACCTCGATTTGGACGAAGTAGAGGAAAGTCCTGAACTCGGGGTACCTAAAGATCCTAAAGACCATTCTTTATAGTCTTCGACTCCCAGGGTTTAAGATTGTTTACGATTATGATAACATCCCGGGGTTCAGCCCTCGATTGAAATGACGGTGGATCTTCAACGCTCCAAACGCCACTCGCGCAGGTGCACTTTGCAGAGCCCTATCGCGCGGTCGCGGGCTGCCTCGCCCTGGTGCGCCAGTTCGGCCGGTCGGTGTGGAGCCGTCGGGGGGAAGATTTGGTGTACCAGCGTCCCAAACTGCTGCCCAGGTATGGTTTTTCAATGTTTTTGATTGTCCCGGACATGGGATAAATCATGGTTAGTTACCTATCCTTTACCTGATGATGTATGAATTTTGCTGAGAACTTTAGAGCCGTAAAGCAGATGTGAGCTGAGCAACCTTGCAGCATCGCTGCATGGATTCACGGGGGATTCACAGTCAGACCAGGGAGACCGGGGAGACGTATCAAGTTTATTCCCAAACCAGGTCGTCAGCCAGAAACTCATTAATACTGGATCCAGTGATAACACAGTAATGACAACCATTGTGACTCAACTTTGGGTCCTTGTGCCCTCACATTGCAAGGAGCCCGCCACAGATGCAGACCAGGCTCGGTTTTTGGGCGGAAGCCGCTAACAGCAGGGGAAGATGGCTTTTTTGCATTTGCTTTCGGGGGTCATTGGAAAGTAGATAGAAAAACAATGAAACACACCAAGTGTCCGATCTCTTCAACATGCTGTTCTGTGGGGTTCGGTTGACTGGGAAAGAACATCCCGTTGGACTTCTGGGATTTGAGCTGACGCCTGTGAGCTGAGCCAGATCCGTTTCTGCGGCACAGGCTCTGCTACGGGGGGCAGTTCAGCCCACGAGAAGGAAACTTCCCCGTATAGTCGCCAAGAAAGAAGGTGGTGTCAAAAGTTAGGAGATACTCCGAATCAGGACCATCCGCACTGTAGCTACACTACTCACGGGTCTTCATTCGACACCCTAGAAGGAGGCACAACATTCCCTCCTCATCATCGACAGCATTTCCCATCGTTTCCCAACATGATGTCCCGGATGGGCTCCAGTCATACCTCCTTAGGTTCGCTATGACTGGACCCTCCCACCCCGGGCCCCGGTCGTCCCACCGTTTCACGGTCTGTCCGGAGCGCCGAAAGGGCCCAAGGGTGTGAACGGACATCACTTGGATGCGGCAGTCACCCTGGTGTCATCAAGTGGCCAAGCCACTCCGAAAAGTCCATCCTTTTTCTCAAAACTAGACGATGAAGTCAAGTGATCCCTGAACCGGTCCATGTGAGAACACCCAAACGTTTGATCACCAGTGGTCCACTGAGGGACTCGTTTTGTTTAAAGGAATCATTGGGCCCAAACCTACAAAAGCAACGCTTGAAATTTTTGCTTAGGGATGCGTATGATGCTTAGGGTGAGTTTTAGTTTCCCTATTAGTGAATCCCCTTCTGGGGAATATTCATGGTTGTTCCCTGTTCCTTAGGCCTAAGTCCAAGAACAGGCGAGAAAAGCCCCCGCAAGTACAAGCGATCACCACGTCGCTGGAAAAGAGAAAAAGACCTTCCCCCGGATTGCAAACGGTGAAGTGGACACCCTCAATCTTTTGAACGGGTAGCGAGCTCCAGAGGTTTGTGCCCTAAACAGCTCCCTGCAGGAAGACAATGGGTGCGATGGCGCCAAAAAAAAGCTTGCCAAGTTCAACTGTTTAGACCCTCCAGATGTGTTTGGTGGTGTTTGGATCTGTTTAGGTTCTGTCTTGACACATTGTCACATGGGGTGGCACCCAATGGGGTGGTTCAAAACCCGGACCCCTAATCCCTCATAGATGGACCATCTCTTGTAGTCAAGCCATAGTTCATGTTGGGTGGGAAGAACACCGGGCTTGGCACCAGGCTGCCATGACCGACAGCCAAGCTACTCGACATGTGCCGATGTCCCGATCTGCAGGTGGGCGACAAGGTCTGCGTGTGTCGTAAGATTGCCGCCGGGGGGGCCATGGGAGGCCGTCGGAGAGGGGTATACTGCTGGAGACGGTGAAGTAAAGAAGAGTAGTGAAGTAAAGACACTTTTGCTGGGGCTTCATCACTTGCTTTTACATGCTTTTACTATGTTTTGATATGTGTTGCTTGTTCTTTGCAAAGTTTGAACCGGCTTTGGCAACAAAAAAAAAGGCTGCTCACAAGAAGTGTTTGTGGTAACATAAGGTTAATGCGGTCCACAATCATGCAAGAATGGGAGGCCAACGCCTGGGAAAGCCTCAAGGAAACTCGGAGTTCCACGATCCCAGACAATCCATGTATGATCCCTGAACTTTACCCCACAGAATAGGCAAATCAATCATCCATACCCAGGACATTCCAAGTCCGGTGGTTTTTGGACACCCCGGACTATCACCTCTAAGACAGAGGCTATTGATCAACACCTCTTTGTTCAGGTCGAAGAGGTCGCCCTTTTGCTCGTGCCCAGGTCGACACCGAGCCCGGCCGCGTAGCGACACGGCATCTCTCAGAGGTGCCGACCGCGCAGCAGTCGATCCTGCGAAGCCAGGGGGAGGGAGGGGATCTGTAGAAGGAGAACTGGACCTACTTGATGTTGGATCTTACATGATCTTAAATAGTATAGACCGTCCCCCTAGCAAACAATCAAGGGTGTTTGAATAGTATCAAGACCATCTTCAAGGGCAACAATAGCAGACAAATATACAATTCTTTCAAGAAACACGCTGGGTGAGAAAACTTCTGATTATCTCTCCCATGAAACTATTCAGGGTGTGGGAATATTTTGGCGAACACTTTTATATCTTTGTATTATTCACTCTCACTACACTAATTAGGATCCGACAATAATGTGGAGAACTCCACCTCCTGAGAAAACCCGTCGAAGTGGGGGTGTAGATATGACAGATGTTGGTCTTGGGGTGTAGATATGAGCGATTTGTTTTTGTCCTTTGAACGACTCCACTTGTACTTTGGGATCCTTTCATGTACCAGTACCAGCCTCGCAATTGTGTTTGTTCAACAAACCCAAACCCTTCAAACAGCTACCCAGTCTAATGTAGGACAATGGCAAGTGTATTAAAATAGGGAGACCCTCCAAAGACCCTTTGGAAGAAGGGAAATTGACCAAAACGTACCAACACATTAAGTTTTCTTCGGTTGGAGACTTCCCTATCAAAATACATACTCATGTGAAGGTTTTGATGTGTAGAGTGTGGCAGACTTCGCAGGTGAGCAAGGATCAGATGCTGGATCTTCCTGACGGCGACGTGCCAGGACAGGAGAAACAATCTGAGCCTCGTATGTTCGATGCAAAAGAGTAGGAGTAGTGAACAACTTTATGAACACCTTACAGACCTCCAGGATGTTCACAGAACACTTATACCTTATAGGTCCAGATCCTGAATGGGTCCAGATCTGAGATGATCCGAGGGTGTGACCGGATCTCTAGGTTAGGTTTCAGACTTCAATACCAAAAAACACATGTCTTGGACAGACCAGGACCATCCAATGGTGTGTCCAATATATGGAGGTCCATAAATAGACAGTGTACATAGCGTAGTATCTTGGACACCCAGACAGGATGACCCAGGTATGGGGATCTTTTTGAGTTCACCACTCATGTTGGTTGCTCCTCACGTCCTCTCTTGGCGCTTCTCTTGGCGCTTCTGTTGAATGAACCCCCCAAACTTAACTCTCTTGGACTGTTACTAATAGCTTCTTGTTACTACTAGTAAGGCACCTGTTACTACTAGCGATGCACTTGTTACGAATAGCTTCTTGTTTCATGACGTCGACTCTGAAACCATATCGATGTCCAGAGATCAGAGGCCCACCTTCTTAGAAGGACTGGAGAGGGTGCCAGGAGGGTCCAGTCATACCGAACCTGAGGAGGTACGCTTACATTTGCTTGTAGGTGTCGCCTTATTGAATGAATAGCGACCATATTGAGAGCAAACTCGTGGAGTTTGCAGGGCATTCCTGCTGACATGCTACCTTGGATTCTTTTGTAGCTTTGTGGTTGAGTCCCTGTTTGTGCCAAAGGGTGCAAGGTGTGGTTTCTTATGTGTAAAGTGTAAACGTGTGTAAACCATTGCGCCGGTGATGAAATGTTTCTCACCACCTTCAGTCACAGCAGTGTACCCATTGTTGTCTTTGGCGGCTTTGCACACTGCAGTGGTGGTTCTTGTGTTCCTGTCTTTTCCTGCCCGCCTCCCTAAACTTGGAAGGTTCAGATTGGACTCTCATCTTTGTGTTTCCTAGTTTTCTATGGCTTCTGTGGGCCGGGGTGGATTTGTTGACCCCCAGCTCTGACAGGGAAACCTGGTCATGTATAGCAGGTCATGTTTGTTGACCCGCTTTCCCACTCTATCAGCCATTGGCTAGAAAAAGTCAGCCCACCGGTGCGATGGCAGCTTAGGGCTTCAACATGTTCGACTTGTTTCGAGCTCGCCCTGTTTGAGTATATTTGTGGGCACTCACCGCCTTGCGTCGTGTCTAACAAGACTGGTGCCCTAGGGAGGGCCTGAGGGGGATACCCCCAGTCGTGTACAATCAATTACAATAATTGGTCTATGGTACCATTCTTCCCCAAAGGACCTCACTGGGTTCTCTTCCGCGCCGCGGGAAGATCCGCCGCAGCATGGACGCTGAGATGGTCGACGGTCCCGCCGCAGGCTTCACCTGGCGCCGGATCTCCCAAGACGAGATGCCGGTCGCTGCAGCGGAGCTGCTCATGGAGCAGGCGAGGTGACCAGTGATGTGGAGGATTTGGACTTTGGAATAGGGAAACTGATGGGGACCCTCTCAATGACCCCCCTGGACAAGGAACATAGATCATAGATCTGGACCCAAACCCTTTTGGTATCCTTTGGTTGCGTGGAGAATCTTCCCAAGATGCTCGTCACTGGAATTTAGTTGAAACCGGCCAAGACACTTTGAGTTGAGTCCTGGAGGCTGAAGCCAAAGGGGACAGGAGTGGTCGTGGGTGCGAAGGGTTCCAAGCTGGGTTTCGTTCGATATGAGGAATACGCCTCTTCTGCGCAACCGCTTTTTCATGGGCCTCTCGGCCTCTCTATAGCTTTTTCGTTCGGTATGGTGAAGATTGTTGCAGCTTGTGTCCATCCCCCAACTCGCCACTCCCTTTAAGCATTGGCCCAAAAACCAGTTTTTGTTGGATCCATATGTCCCAGTGCGTGGTACAAGTCAGACAATCCCTACCATTTTTAAGGCAGACTTCCATCCAAATCACCTTCACTACCAGTCTTTCGCCGTGGCCACCGATGCCTTTTGGTCACCACCGAGCCGGCGCAACCACCAAGCACTGAGGAAGAAAAACACGTCTTGAAAGCGTGACCGGCCCCAATTGCGAGGCGGCCGGCCCCGGCTCGAAGCCGCCGGTGTGTGGTTTGCGCGCGGGAGCGCCTTTGGAGAAAGGAGAGGATGGGGGGAGAGGATGGGGAGTGTTATCCAGAAGGGGTGCCTATGTAAAAGTATCCTCAGATATATAGATTATATAAATCCCTGTGCGAATTTCCTCTAAAAAATCAGACAACCCGGGTTGTCATAAAAAACAAAAACGGACGAAAATATACAGTGCCAGTCTACAACTGGAACCTGGGGGTTCCCATTCTCTATAACGCCAAGAGGGGGTTGATTTATTAGAGACTTTGGTTGTCGAGCGTTAGCTCGAGAATGGGGTGGATTTTTTAGAGAAAAGAGTCTTTGCAAAGCCAGATTTGCAAATCCTAGCATGGGCTCAACACACAGATGCAGAGACCATACCAGGATCATCCATAAGCAAGCATCAAGAGGAAGATGCATGAGTCGACTTTGTTCCACTCGAACTCGGACTGTCAATTCTTTAGGCCTTTTGAGCTTTTCCTTCAAGTCTCCAATTCTTTAGCAGATGCAATCTGGCTTTTGATTCTTTAGAGAATGTTCTTGATTTTTTAGTGCCACTTCTGGATACTGAACCTGGGGGTTCCTAAAGAATTGACAGTCCGGGTGTGAGTGCGAATTGGAAGGGTGATTTATATAATATATAATTATATATATATAACAAATTACTGTATGTATGCAGTTTTTCTACATTGGGGCGGGCGGTTAATTGGGGCGGGCGGTTATTTCAGGGGTCAATATATTCAATTTATGGAGTGTTTGGGTATTCTAATTAGGAAGACCTAAGACCAAAAGGCCCAAGGGGTAAGCATGGGTGAACGATATTCTAAGATTCTAGACCGGCGAGTTTTGTTTTTGTTTGTCTTCTTCTTCCAGGCACTTCCAGGCGGATGAAAGCGACCATGACCGTTGGATACCGTTGGCTAACAGCATAACAGTACAACCATGCCATGTGGTTGACTGTCATGGATAGAACCACAGTCAAGGAATCTAAAGCCTGTGTCATTCATGGCGCGGATTACAGCATTTAGATCGATTATATAGCGAGGGTCCACCAATTGCTTTGCCCTTTTGAATTGCTGTTAAATAGCACAAGCTCAGCTGCTCCACTTGAAACAGACTCGTATCTGAGATCCAGTCTGTTCCAGTTCTTTGTTTTGATTTGCTTGATGAATTATATGATGTGATCAAACATATCCATGTTTATTGTGTCTCATGGCGTTCCATCTCTCTTCGACCTCAAAAAGTCACACCGCTGATATCCCGTGTCGGTGCCCCCGAGGTTTGGATTGTCTGCGGTGACGTGTCGCTCCAGGCGAGTGCGACGCCCGTTTCACGTGTCGTGGAAGCGTTTGGCATCACAAGCAAACTCACGACGATTCTCCCCCAAGCACCGTTTGGTGTGCGCAGCGTCTGGTGCGCAGCGTGAAAGGTGGACCTATCAACTTCTGCTCGCGATGTGAGCTGGCACGCAGTGTGAAAACGGAGCGTGATGAAAGAAGATCCTGCAGCAGCTCGTTTGAGCAAATTAGGATGTACATGTTGAATATCTCTAAGGGGTAATAAGTGACGGGGAGTTTAGATCCAACATGATCCAACTCATGTCAATTCCCATCAATTCCCACCTTCGATGGATGTGGCACAGCTTTTTTGCTGAACTGAAGTCATCGGCCTGGCACAGCCAGTCGATGCCGATCTGGTCGTCCTGGTCTGGTCGATCAACCGGGATGGATGGCGACGGAGGGGATGTGTATGCCATTCGAAACTTGGGGGACGGGCTGGGCCTGCCGGTTACACCCTGGAAGAGACCCACATACAACCTGAAAAACGACTGGGTTGTAGAGGAAAGTTAAAGTTGTCTTCCAAAAGGTCAATTTTCAGGTTAGTTCCATGTTAATCTTCTCGGGTGTAGCTGCAGACCTTTGTGCCTGTTTCCAGAAGCTCTGAAACATCATAGTTCACTCTTCTCGGGTGGGTGCTGCGTCTCAGGGGACAATGATTGGTTCAACGTTTTGGCAGTGGAGAAGCCATGTCCTGGACCACATAAAGAGCCTGATGAACTCTGTGAGGCAGCATGTTTTGGGAGGTACCCCCATAATAGAGATATTTTTACACTCTGACTCACTAACATTGGAAGTGGAAAATGGTCCCTTGGAAGACGACTTTCCTGTACAAACAGGGCGTTTTCCACTTCCATGTTAGTGAGTCGTAGTGTATTTTGATAGCAGTGCAATTGAGCAGCACAGCACGCATCAGACGCATCAGCATGCTCCGCAAAACGATGCAACAAGGAGCCTCTAAAAACCGCTCCGCAACAAAGCTGTTGGAGCGGAACCGCTCCATAAGGCGTGAAGAAACACCTATCAGGACCTTCCCAGTGACCTCTTCAGGATTGGCAAGGAACCTTTTCAAGACCGTTTGGTGACCCTCATTGATCTCAAAGGGCTACCTTCTTAAAGGACCGAGACTGCTTTTACCCAGGTTGTTGACTAGTGACTCAAATGCGAGATTGAGGTGAATCCCTTTTAAGATCCTTTAAGCACCTGAGCAACCAGCCAAACACCCTGAGAATCAACCCGGGGGACTACCCAGCACCTACAGGTGCAATTCAAGTTGAAATCATGGACAACATTGGACACTCAAAAAGACCAGTTTGTGTCCAAATGTTCCATCAATGTCCCACAGATATGCCATTGAAATTCGCCTTCAATCCACTCTACTGAACCCTCCAAGAACCGATTCGACGACCGACCTCAACTGCGACGCGAACGAACCTTCCGCCAGGTCTTAGGGCCGCCACGCGGAGAGGCCGTGGAAAAGTGGAGCCTTTCCAAGGTGTTCAACTTTGTTCTTCTCCATTTGAGCAACGTCATAAACCTCTATGAAAGACTTTAGGTAGGACTTAAGATTTACGCATTGTTTTGCCCAAAGACAACTGTAGTTGGGTCTGTATTTTGACACCAGGGAGACCTCCTTTCGGCGTTCCGACTCTCTGGGTCAGGTTTGGGAAAATAGACCCACAAAAAGTACCCAGCCAGAAGCGATTTGGGGGGTCTCCCTATTGAAATACACACCCATTTGGTTTGTTGTTGATGCTTTGTTTTTCAATGTCTACAAGTACATAAAAGGTGTGTTCCTCAAATAGTTTTGGATGTGCGTTTTTCTGTTTGGTCAGGTCTTTTGACAGGGTGTTCAGTGAAACTGGTTTAGGGATGTTTAGGGTAGTTGAGGGTTAAGGGTTGAAGTTGAAGGCATTCCCAAGTAGAAGCTCAACCATCAGTTCAACACTTCCGCTGCAAGATCCCAGCCCCAAGAGCCTGGCGACCATGTCTGGAGAGTCAGTCGAAATCGAAGTGGTTAATATTAAAAGGGCTTTTGCAAGACTTTGCCAAAGATATATAGTAATATATATATATATAAATACATACCACACATGCATGCATAGTGAGACAAAAGTGAATCCCCTTCTCAGGAGATCCCCTGGCCCGGTAGACTGGGTAGACTGGTCAATGTTCCGAAACAAACCCAGGGGGTCGGAACGCGTGGGCCTCCCTATTTAAGTATACTTATAGGGCTCCAGTTCGTACCTCCGAAACGAAGGTATGACTGGACCCTCTAAAGCCACCCCAGTCCCACCGAACCGGAACGAAGGTACGACTGGAGCCCACATGGGATACTAAGAGCTTGAGCTTGGTTGCCCTGGCCGGTTTGGATCCACCCACCCCATTGTTTCACGTCGACCGCCTCGACCGCCTTTGGCAGGGGTTCATTGGTGCCACCCTGTGCATGAGCATGGAACAGCCAGCATCCCAGCTTGGAGCTGACTCTGGATGAGATCCAAAAACTCAGGCTCTGAGTTAAACATATTTCATATCATTTCTCCAGGCCTTTCAGATGTTTTACAATCCATATCTGTGGGGGGAGGAGTTTTAGAGTTACTGAACACCACAAGTTCCATGAAGTTCCTGCATGCATCCGGCCAAGGGGAATCTGTTCCCCAAGCTCCAGTCCCATCGTCCCACCTCTCGACGCCACACCGAACAGGGCTTCGTCACCCTGGCTGGTCGAAGCCTGGAGCCCTCTGGAGCCCTCTGGAGCCCCTGGGGGCGAAACCTGAAGGCCTGGTCCACCATCACCAAACAAGAGAACCAACGACTAACACTCCTCGGTCCGGTCAGATGCCCCCTTTCGGTCCGGTCAGACGCCCCGGTCACTCTCGGTCAGACGCCGAGTTTGCCGCGAAAGTCACACCCAGGTTGAAGCGGATCCAGGAACCTCAGACCTTGGAGGAGGAACTCCAGGGACGCTATGAGGCCCGAAACACGTTGCGTGGGGCGTGCGGCGTTTCACGTTCACGCGCCTCAAAAGCCAGAGAGGTTGAGAGACCTGAACGTTCGGACCCTGTAGGGCTGTATGGGATGGGCGAAAAAGGGCTGTTCAACCTCTCGTTCCGCTCGGACTTCGTTCCGCTTCCATCGGACCTGGCGAAGTGTGTTTTTGAGACACGGGTTTGCCCCGGTTTGTGTTCAGACAGTGAAGAGAGCACGCTGAGAAAGAAAACAAGCTAAAAAGGATCTGAAAGGGTTTGGGGGTCCAGGTCTTGACCCAAAGCCATATCATGCCATATCTATTTCTCCAGCGAAGCGTAAGTTAGGTGGTTACGTCCTGTCTGCGTGCGGGTTGGCAGCCGCAATGTTGGCACAGAAATGGTGTCTTAGCCAAGAATTTAGTGATCTATATGCTTGACAGGTCCGTTTTGGAAAGCTGCAGGGTAATAGCTGAGTTGACTTTCCGACCTCACATCAAAACCCTTCCTGGATCGCCGTACACGCGAGACGTTCACCATCTTTCACCCCGAGACTTACATGAGACTGTCATGTAGAAGTCATTGCCCCATTTGGGCCTAAACTAGCTCCTTCTCAGTCAACAGATTGGACATCTCTAGTCCTGAAAGGCACAAAAACTTACCTTTCGCTGCCCCCATGTGAAGGCAACCCAAAACAATCCAAAAAAAAGTGAAGACTAAAGAAGACATGTATCGTTATGTTTGGTTATTTAATGTTTTTTCTTTTTGTACGTTTCATGAAGGCCATTTTCAACTCGCACCACTCTGCTTCGCTCAGGCCTCCACCGGCCTCATCGTGGAGAAGGGCTGCATCCGCCGCGACCGCGGCGTCGGCCGCGCGGCAGAGGCCAAGGCACCGAATCAGATATTGGGGGGAAAGAAGGAGGGACTGACCGGTATTGACCTTTAGCATCTTTTTCTGGATGATTTTGGAGGTGGATTGTTCAGGTTTTCCAGTTCTGGTATGTTCCTCCCCTTCTGTACCATCAGGCAGATTGTTTTTGCTTTTGTCCTGGCTTCAAAAAGTCCGCAAATCCAAGATGAAGACTTGTTATGGGGATGTGTGATATCCTGGAGATTCCTCAAGAACTTGCTTCTTTTGTTGCGTACCATGGTATTTGCATTGTACCGTTACTGTACCATTGGTCGAAGAACTGGGAGTCGCTGTACCAAGAAATTGTAATTTGACTTTGCTTAGCTGCGATTCCATGCAACTCCCCTCTTCTGGCAAAGGTTTGCTGGCGAGGTTTGCTGTGGGGAAGGTTTCTGTGCTAAACTGTGCAATGCTGTGCCCTTTGAACAAGTTCATATTTTTGTCATGAACGCTGCTTGGGGTGAATCATGTGTGCAAAAACTGTGGCATGCTCATCGAAGCAACATGTCACCTCTTGTTTCTTTTCAGCTTGCAATAATTGTGGATTGCCCTGAATACGCTCAACATCTTTGAGGAGCCTTGATGGTCATTTGCCTTTTCTGTATCAGGTCCCCTGTTCAGGTGGTGGGACAGATGAAGTGACCAGGATTGCACTCCTTTTTGAAAGAGTTACATGGTGATTCCAGGGAGTGTATGACAGACAAGAATCCCATATCGGCCCGTGGAGAGAGGAGAGCGAGAGAGAGAGAGAGAGAGCTGTTGACGATTCCCAAGGAACTTGTTGTACCGTACAAACCAAAATTGTTTGAACATGTTTGAACTCATCCCACGGTTGCCAACTGGTTAGTATGCTGCTGTATGCTTATCCGAAATCCCAGCAGTCCATCACATGCGCCGGCAGGGACCTCTCTTGTGTGGCGCCGGCGTCAACAACAACGATCCGGGTTTTAAGACAGTGAGCATCCTCTACAGCACCGGACTGATGACGAAGGCCTGCATTTGTTAGAACACTGCGGCGATCTGCGGTGCTTTCCTGGATGACGTGCTGAAACCGAGGATTAAATGGAAAAAGTCTTCTAAGATTAGACACGATGGAACCACTGTCTCAAGCTCGTCCCTCCCCAGCAAGAACGAACTAATTGATGTCTACTGTCTACCTTGGAACCTACTTGCTGTAGTAACTATGTAGATTCGTGTCATTCCAAGAAATAAATGCAGCCCCAAATCACATCAAATCGACCAGACCTGGGATGGTAAGCCGAGTCTTCAAGGAGGGTATGCATATATACCCTACAAGTCCGTTGGAACTCATTTTGCTGGAGTTGGTCATACACTTGTAGGGATAATATGCCCTCAAACCCATGAATAATAAAGGCTTTCACATTGTTTTTTTAGAAACACGCGATGGGAAAACTAGGTTTTTGCTGGGCCATGTGGTGTTCCTGGTAATTACATCGAAAAACATCGAAAAACCACCTTCTGAGCCGCCCCTTGGGCTCAGAATCATCTGGAACATGGAGAGGGCTTCCCCTTTCAGGGTCCCGACGGATCCGGGCCGACCACGTCAGCGGCGGGCCGACCACGTCGCCACCCTCGCGGGTCGCATTGGGAGGTGGACGAAGAAGAGGAAGTCCGGACGGTCCTCACTAGGGTCGTAGCCTGGACCAGTTGTGTGTGTGTTCTTTTGTTACATCCATATTGGTGCTTACGGTTCTCCTTGAGTGTTCGGATGTCTAACATTATGATAATCATAGGATATGATTGACGATAGTGATATGTACAGAGTCATCCAGGTTCCACATTTAAATACAGTGCAACTAAATGTAAGACACAACTGCAAATAAGGAGTTCCACATTCTTTCGATCCCGAGTGAGAATCTCCTCGCTTGGAGATCCACGTTTTCCGAGATGACGTTCCTCTTGCGTCGCAGAATGGGTTGAAGGGAAGATCTAACAGCAAGGATTTCTGGTAGTGGACGTTGTTCCCTTCAACCAATTCAATCTTCGGGCCTAGGGCGGCAGCATTACCTTGGACAGTGGCACCTTCAACCAAGTGTGGCGCATTCGTGAGCTCGAGGAGCGAGCTGGCGCGTCGTGTGGCGCGTCGTGACGAGTCCGCATGCTGGGGGCCCACATTGCTTAAGTTGAAGGCTCAGGCAAAATGGATATTCTTTTCCCTTTGAACGCGTGCACGTGGTTGGTCCTTCAGCCTCCAGGTGAACCGGGGGAAAACATCGTGTTTCCATCCGCTTGGGACGCGGGATTCGCTTGGGACTTGGGACGCGTGTGTGGCGTTGGTTCTGGGTGAATGATGATGTGATGGAGCTGACGAACCAGAGTAATTCCATAACTCCATCTCAACTATAATGGCATTGTTAGTTCCTAATTCAATCCAATTCATGGATGGATCATATTTTCATGATTTGATGAGGCTGTTTCAGAGTACTAGTATACAGTATACATATTAATCCCCAGAACGACAACATGTTTTTAATTGTTACACACATTACAGTGAGTAATCAGATCATATCAGATCAACTATGATCAAATCCAAGACCTGAACCCTAAAGCCTAAACCCTAAATCCAAGACCTAAATATGGTCAGATCCAAGACCGAAGCCACCCGGAGCCAGTTTGGAGCAGTCTTCTCCGGCCATACATGGCACTTGGCACTCGTGGCCAGGACAACCCCTTTGACAGCCCAAGCTTGCGCCACTGGACTGAGCAGACAGAAGCAAGAAGAACAAGAGTAACAAGCCAGTGTGTGTGTGTGTTGGAATACAAATCTAGACACTTTCAACATAGTTGCATATGGTGCAGGTCTATACAAGCAGAAACAAGCCGCAACTGCAACAGGAACCACACGACAGGTCACGTTGATGAACAACACTTGGAACAGACAAAGAGTCAGACCCTCGAAACTATATCAAGTCTTCAATGGCTATATAGATTATCAAGACTCGGCAGATGAGTTCAGAATGCCGTGTATCATGTATGTTCCACTACCCGCTGGGGAACACTTGCATCCGTGACGTTCCTTAACACCTGCGCCGAGGTGCTGCGCGGAAAGTCCCGGCGGTAGGTGCGGTTCGAAGAGTTTTGTTTGCAGAGCAGAGCAGGAGTATGGATCAAAGAAGAAGCGCAGATGGTTGGGCAAAGAATGCAAGATGCATCACTCACTGCTTGAAAAGCAAACAGCTCAAAACCCCAGAAGTTGTTTTTTTCAGCGAAAAGTCATGCGTGAATCCGTCACTTCCACAGGAGATCGACAGATTCTGGGTTCGAGAGGAAGACTTGAAGACTCCTGGGGTCTAGTTGGACCAAGTCAAACTCGTTTCATTGGCAAGTTAAGCATAACGAGATAACAGTAGATGATAAGTAGTCATCATCATCGACGGCATCATCATCATCAGCAGCACCAGCAGCACCACCACCAGGACCAGCAGCTGCAGCGGCAGCGGCAGCGGCAGCGGCCTCGGCATCGGCATCGGCATTTGCAGCATCAGGATCAACAGCGGCAACATCGTCATCAGAATCATCATCAGCAGCAACATGATCATCATCATAATTATCGAACACATCATAATCAGCTGCATCATCTTTAGCGTCATCATCATCACCAGCAGCAGCATCGTCAGCAGCAACATCATCATCACCATCATCAGCAGCAGAAGTTTCCTCAGCATCATCACATCAGCATCATGATCAGCAACATAATAATCACCGGCTTCATCGTCAGCAGCAACATCATCATCATCATCATCATCATCATCATCATCATCAACATCCTCGCCGTCGTCGTCGTCGTCATTATAATAATTACAAAAATAGCAATAATAATGACCATCATCATTATTATTATCATCATCATCATCATCGGCATCGGCATCGGCATCCGCAGCAGCAGCAGCAGCAGCAGCAGCAGTAGCGGCAGCGGCAGCGGCAGCAGCAACAGCAACAGCTTCATCCTCATCCTCATCATAATCATAATCATCAGCAACATCACCAGCATCACCGTCATCATCAGCAGCAGCAGCAGCATCGTCAGCAGCAGCATCAGCATCAGCAGCATCATCATCAGCAGCAGCATCAGCATCAGCATCAACAGCATTATCAGCAGCACCACCATCAGCAGCATCACCATCAGCAGCAGCATCAGCATCAGCAGCATCATCAGCATCAGCATCAGCAGCATCATCATTAGCAGCAGCATCATAATCAGCATCAGCATGAGCAACATCTTCATCAGCAGCAGTCGCGGTTCATTCACGGCTCCAGACATCTTGACATCTTGGATATGTCGTCTGAGGGCACGAGCCGTCCACTCTGCAGAAAGGCCGCGCAGCTGGCCCTGCCTCAGCAGTGGCAAGGGTGGGGAACCTGGTTCGCAAGCGAACTGCGGAACTGGCGCACCTCGTGGTTGGTGCGTCATTGGTTGGTGCGTCATGCGGCGTCGGAGGAAACAATTCTGACAATGTTCTTGTAAAGCAAACAAAACACTACAAAACACTATGATAATCCTTCAGCTATTGATTAAGTGACTCAGAATTTCCACCAGTGCAAGTCGACAGGAAGTTCCTGTCGCCCAGCCCAGCAGTTGTTTACTTTGTTTGGAGGGGGTTGGGGGTTCCTCATCACCTGATCAGCTGCAAAACATTCAAAGTTATTTCAGAGGTTCGATGGCACAGATGTCTAAAATTTGGATGGTTTATGTGGACCCACATTTTTTCGCGACATCTTGGGGTTTGTGTTTGTCTTTAATTGCTTTGAAACCACTATCCCTATGGATCCACACTCCGAACCTCAGGTACGGTGAGGACGGATACATGTAATTAGGCGCCAGGAGGATCCAGTCGTACCTTCTGAGGTACGGTGGCAGTGGATCCATAGGGTATACACACCATAGTTTATGCTCAAATCATGGAACTGGAAGGCCTGGCATCTTGAAAGCAAATGTTCTTCTATAAACAGTGGTCGCAGTTGGTCCACTTCCATGTGTGATGCGGGTAGAGATGGTTCTTGCTTTTTGTTGGTGCGTCATGCGGCGTCGGAGGAAACAATTCTGACAATGTTCTTGCAAAGCAAACAAAACACTATAAAACACTATGATAATCCTTCAGCAATTGATTAAGTGACTCAGAATTTCCACCAGTGCAAGTCGACAGGAAGTTCCTGTCGCCCAGCCCAGCAGTTGTTTACTTTGTTTGGAGGGGGTTGGGGGTTCCTCATCACCTGATCAGCTGCAAAACATTCAAAGTTATTTCAGAGGTTCGATGGCACAGATGTCCAAAAATTGGATGGTTTATGTGGACCCACATTTTTTCGCGACATCTTGGGGTTTGTGTTTGTCTTTAATTACTTTGAAACCACTATCCCTATGGATCCACACTCCGAACCTGAGGTACGGTGAGGACGGATACTATTTATGTAATTAGGCGCCAGGAGGATCCAGTCGTACCTTCTGAGGTACGGTGGCAGTGGATCCATAAAGTGTGTTCATGTCGAGGAAGATAATTACAGATCCACGTTGCTGGGTTTGGAGAGTCTCCGGAGTGCACGGGTTCAAGGCCAAGCCCGGCCCCCAGGCCGAGGCCGTTGCCTCCGTGTGGTTTGAAGGTGAGACACTCAACTCCCTGGAACCGGAATGACGAACATGGTCCATGGTGTTTAAAGAAGAAAGACAAACAAACAGAACAAACAAGGGACCATATGAATATTATTCTATGTTAGTTCCATCTTTTTGTCTCTCTCTCTCTCTCTCTCTCTCGCTCTTTCAATATATCGAATGCAGCCCAAGTGACCACACTCTTTGGTAAAAGCTGATCGATGGTGCTTCACCCTGGGTATTTGACACGGGGGATCGAAGATCCCCAGAGTCCGAGTCCCAAAGAAGATCCGGGCTCCTGAGAAGTCAGAACCTGTTGGGGCGGCAGCTTTTGACAAATCTGCAAGGCATGGGGACGCAGCTTTCGATGCATCAGATCAATATCGCCAACATGCTATAGACATACAGGCTTTGTGAGAGCGATAGAATCCGAGAGAATCCAAAGCAAATACAGTAACCACTTAGTAGGCTCCCTTGGATGCTGTTTTTCACCAAAGGGGCCATGACCCAGGTGAAAGAGATCCCGTTTTGGGTGGTCCTTGTTCATGTCCATCAATTGTGAAGTGTCTTGGGCACCTCTCCGGTGCATCTTGGGCACCAGTGCTAGGTGGCCTCGAGTTTCTCTCCCAAGGGCAAGGGCAAAGGCAAGGGCAAGCCCGGCTCCTCAAAGGTCGCGCGGAATCGATTCGTGTGCTTGACATTATGACGGTCCTGGGGGGAGTCTGTGGAGTCGAGAGTGGAGCTGTTTTCAGAAGGTGTTTTCAGGTCAGCTCCACAGTCTTGGGTCAACTCAACAGTCTTGGGTGAAGGCTTTTCCCCATGCTATGAAGGCTTCCTTCATCAGCTTGAAGGTTTTTGTTCACGACCCTTCTTTCACGGCTCAACTACGGGACTTGTCCCGCTTCCCCGTGCTAGTCTGGTTGTACCGAACTCGGGCTTTTCTGAGCACCAGTGCTGTTCTGGTACCGAACATCACTGAACTCCTGGTTTTCCGGTCATCTCCTCCACGTTCTCTTCGTGATCAGAAACAGAGAAAAGCTAAGTAGATAAAGGATGATAAAGGAGAAAGTGGCCAGCCTGTCAAGCATGTTTGGCCCTTAAGCATGTCAACCCTGAAGGTCACGTGCCCATCAATCCCCACAGGTTGATCGAATGTAGAAAAATAGATTAACCAATCCACACAGAGTTTGGACATGGCAATATTATGTCAAATATATATATATATATATATTATATTATATATATTATATATATATATATTCCAACAATATAACTATATACACATATATACATTATCTATTGTACATATTTTTCTAATATAATATATATATATATAACTTATAGCTGTATATAAATACATATTAGAATACATGTTTAAGAATCGTCCTCCAGGTTTCTTTCTCCTCACTGCCCGAGGTCCGGTAAGGGGCGTGGAAGCCGTGCGCCGGTGTCTGCCGCTCCAGCACGGCAGGCCCATGGAATGCGTCAGAATCTTTCGAAAGTAAATCAGGGCGATGGTCACCAGTTCTGAAAGAAATCCTCATATAGTTCATCCGAGTTCTGAAAGTTTCAGGGGGTTGAATCTCCTTTTCAGCCGGTCAAGTCATGGTTCATGACAAACATTAAAAAAGAGATGCAAGGAGTCATGGTTCAATTGAAGGACCAGGTGTTCAGGATGAAACAAGCACAAACACACCGCGGATGAGTTCATGGTGAAAGTTCTTCGTGTTGTTGGATTGGCTCACCAGGAGATTTTGCAGTATTGTGGGTGACATGACAACGCGACACCACAACCTTTCGTCATCTTCTTCAGCACAGGTTCATTCGGTCTTGGAGAGCCTCTTCACGGCGTCGCAGAGGAAACGAGCACAGGAGAGGACACTCAAGGGACCCCCTCGGAATGCTTCAATGTTGGCTCTTCATCTTCCCTGGCTGCTCTTGTCATTGCTCCAATTTGTGAGCGTCGTGCTGGGTGGCCCACCTGCACAGCAATCATGCGGCGCATGCAGCTCTAATGGCAATGACCACGTGCTGCAGCTGCGCAACCAAGTTTGGCTCTTGCCATTTCAGTATCACACCGACAGCGTTTTTTTCCCCACAGCCGAGCCCATCAGCTGCCACCGGGCGTTTGAGATACACCCAGGCTGGCACCGTTGATTCACGCCGTGCAGAGGTTCAGTGCCAAAGCAAGAACAGAGACACAACAGAGCTTGGCCGCGCAAAATGCGACCTCACCCGGTCCTCACTGAGCCCTTGCAAAAGCTGCAAAAACAGACGTCTCAGCATAAACAACCACTTGGCCACATGCGCATGACTTATCAAAGACAGACACATGAATGCCTGCGTGACGGCTGGCTATACTTGCTTCCCAGCATGCAACTTCAGCATACCCTCTGTGCCCAAGGTTGGCGAGCAGGGCAACAACATTCCTGCTTACCCAACAGCCGATATATACATCT